ATAAAGGGAAAGGGGGGAATACTAGGTAAATGTATTTAAGAATAAGGGAAGGGAAGTGGCGAGAAGGGAAGGGAAGAGCGAGGAGGGGAAGGAAAGCGAGGAAGGGAAGGAGGAGAGAGAAAGGGAAAGGAAGGGGGGAGAGAGAAGGGAAGGAGGAGAGAAAGGAAGGAGGAGAGAGAAGGGAAGGAAGAGAGAGAAGGGAAGGAGGAGAGAGAAGGGAAGGAGAGAAGGAAAGGAGGAGAGAAGGGAAGGAGAGAAGGGAAGGAAGAGAGAGAAGGGAAGGAGAGAAGGGAAGGAAGAGAGAGAAGGGAAGGAGAGAAGGGAAGGAGAGAAGGGAAGGAGAGAAGGGAAGGAGAGAAGGGAAGGAGGAGGCTCACGTTGATCAGGAAGGTTTTGCTGTTCAGCAGGTTGGAGAACTGGTTCAGGGCCTGAGCCACGATGGCCTTGCGGGCTTCTGGGATTTGGATTTTCCCCGTGATCATGGCGTCGTTGGCGCCGTCTTTGGAGGGCAGGAAGAAGTTGCGATCCGTGTAGGTCTTGTAGTCCAGGAAGGGGATCCGGGCCTCGCTCAGCTCGCTGGTGTGGTCCTCCATTTCGATCATCAGATCTGAGATCAAGAGAAATCCGCTGGTGACTTTGTACAAACTGTTACACAGAACAGACCTGCAAAAATAAAGCCTTGAAAACAAGTAAATGTTCCTGATGCAGACAATGAGTGAGGCGCTTCTCGGGTGCGCTTGATTTCGTACCTGTGAACTCTTTCTTGCAGCGATCTCGAACACTTTCCTCCAGATTCGCCAGCTGGTTTTTCACCTTCCCGTATTCCCGCTCTGCCTGCTGACTCTTCCTCCTGTACACACACACACACACACACAGGTCATAAAACCCATCGACACGGGCAAGCCAGCGTGTGTGTGTGTGTGTGTGTGTGCGTGTCTGACCTGTAGCAGTACACGGACACGGCGATGAAGAGCAGCATCGGGATGATCACCGAGGGGATGATGGTGGCCAGAGGGATGTCGTCCTTTCTGGCGTAGGAAACCGAATCCACCGTCCACTCGCCGTGACCGAACTTCACCTGGAGACAGACGGACGCTTGCATCACATACTACATCAGACATGTTGAGATTAAAAAGGACACGTTTGTTTGGTGAAACAGAAGAACTTTCTGCCTCTTCAGGAGGTTTTTATTCACCACGAGCTCCAGCATGTTGTCCGCTGTGTCTCGGCGCTGCCGTCTGGACCCGGGCTGCGACTGCGGAGCGTCCAGGATCAGCTTATCGTCCTGTAGACCGGGGGGGGCATAATGTAAAAGGTGCGTTGCATTTGCTCCCCGGTTGGTGGGCGTCGCTTAGCACACGTTAGCTTAGCTGACGTGGTAGCTGACATGCTTTGTATTACATTATAATATAATGACACATATTACATTTAGTGTGTTTGGGTCTGGAAACCTTTTAAAACAAATTATTTGGATTTTTTTTCTCTCACGTTTCCAACCCCAGGCAACTGAGGAGGATGAATATAATAATATATAATATAAGCTAAACTATATCTTTATAGTCAGAAACAATGATCAAAGTCTGTTTGGAGGAAGCGACTGTGACCTGCAGGATGTTGACGGGACACGAGGCGTCTCCCACGAAGGCCTGCGCCTCTTTGGCCGTCATGGCTTTGGCGAATCCTCGCCCCTGAAACAAAGAAGAAGAGAGTGACCTCGACTGACCCGTGGAGGGGGGGGGGGGGGGGGGTTGGGGGGAAGGGGGGATTGGGGGGGGCCGGGGGGCCTCCTCACTGTGAAGATAATGACGCCGGGCTCGGGGAAGACGTTCTTGTCCAGCTTGTTGAAGGGCGGGTCCCGGTGGTAGACAAAGTTCTTCAGCTCCACCTTCTCGTTGTCCAGGTGCAGGAAGGTCCTCAGCGCCTGGGGGTCCACGCCGGCGCCCGCCGTGGGGGAGAGGAACTGCAGGACGGTTTCGTTCTTACTCAGGGCCTCCTGGACAAACTGACCCAGGGAGGAAGAGGAAGAGGAAGAGGGGGTTAACTTTATACCTGGTCACATCTTATTCATATTTAGCTGAAGCTCTCGTAATAATCCAAGAGGTCGACAGCCAAGCAACAAAGCCAATAAAAGCGGAGGCTACGTGTTGAGCGGCTGGCCGTGGTCTCTTACCTCCACAGGTGAGGCGCTGTGGGAGAACTCGTTGGCGAGGGGCACGACCTTCAGGCTCGCTCTCTGGGTGAGATCGAAGCCGCTCCCCACCACCATGATCCTGCGCCCGCCGCTGCACACGGAGCATTAAAGCACATCGGCCTTCAGCGAGTCTCCAATTCATTTGTCATCGGATTTTTACTCATAAGCCCCTTTTTCATTTCCCCGGTTTGTTTACACCCCCCACACTCACCACAGGAAGCTGTCCTTGGGCAGGAAGTTGGTGACCTTGGGGTCTTCCAAGTACTGGAACGCGGCCCCCACCTCCTTGGTGGTGTTCTTGCCGTAGAGCACCGTCACCGGCAGCAGCTCGGAGGGAACCTTCGTCCCGCGGAACCTCCCCGTCCTGCAGGTGATCTGCTCGCCGAATGCCACGCTGGGGGAGGAGGGGGGGAGACTTTTAGCGTCGTGCCCGTCTGTGAGGCGGCGTGTCATCGTGATGGAGTTTCACGCTTACATTTCGCAGGGGACCCCCCCCACGGCGACGGAGACGTCGTCCCTGGTGCCGGTGTCCAGGTTTTCCCCCTGGACGGTGATCAGCGTGCCGCCGCCGGCCGGACCCCTCGATGGGACGACTGCCAGCGGCTTGGGGTCCTGGACAGAGACAGTTTGTCCACTTAAGACTTTGCTGGTATTGACTTTATGTTATAAATGATTCTTAGAAGTTACATTTACACAAGTGCAGGTATTTGTATTTGATTTTTCCTGTATTAGTTGTTTCACGTTGTACTTTATAATGTATGTATTTGATAAACGGCATCTTTAAAATATTACAAAATATATTTCACTCATCAATTGTGAAATATTATAGATTATTCAGCGACGTATATGAAGTAAATAAAATGAGCTTCACCAGCTGCAACTAAAAAGTTTAGAACCCAACAAAATAATGTAATAAGTACTTTTACAACTGGTACTTCAGGTAAACGGTGCCAACATTTATTCTGCTTTGCTCCTAATTCCTTTTATTCTTTTACATGTTTTGTTATTGTTGAGGTTTATTACTCAGTGGTAATTTATTCTCCTACGAAGTCTTTATAAAAAACAGATTCATAGACTTTTCAACCCGTTTGGCTTCACACGTACCCGATAGGTGAAGATCACCTGAGACGTCCCCTTCTGTCCCCCCTCCAGCTCCACCTCCACCGCTCCACGCATGGGGACGTCCATGCGACTCGCCGGCCCGATCTCACACACCACGCTGCGCCACAGAGGACAGGTTAGAGGCGCCGGTACTAGTGCCGGTTAGTTAGAGGCGCCGGTACTGGTGCCGGTTAGAGGCGCCGGTACTGGCGCCGGTACTGGTGCCGGTACTGGTACCGGTTAGTTAGAGGCGCCGGTACTGGTGCCGGTTAGTTAGAGGCGCCGGTACTGCTGCCGGTTAGAGGCGCCAGTACTGCTGCCGGTTAGAGGTGCCAGGTACTAGTACTGCAGTATCACACGCTCTGCTCCTCCACTGGACCTCAGAGGTACACGTTGTACTTTATACTACACCGGTATGAGTATGCGTGAAGGAGTATCTCAGCACCTGGTGGAGACGGAGTACCGGTCCGCCTGGTGGACACATTCCACGCCGGCCACGGTGATCTTCTTGACGTCTTCCCTCTTGATGCCCATGTTGGAGCCTTTGATGGTGACGGAGATCTGACCGTTCGGGGGCCCGAAGCGAGGGACGATCTGGAGACGCAGAATGTGTTTCATCGTAAACATTCCCTCCCGTTGGTTGAGCGTCTCTCTCTTCATGGTGAACAGACCCTGCAGTGCTTTACCTTCTCACCTGGCTGCAGGGAGGCCCAGGTATCACTTCACCGCTGACCTCGACCAATCACAGCAGCCTGCTGTCCCACATTTAGCCACTTGACTCTAATCGTCCATCCCATTAAAATATCTCAACATGGTCTTGTCTTATTTCTGCCCTCAACTGTACGGCCTGATTTTAGAAAACTACATATTTAAAACACATTTTTTAACACATTCTGCCTCCTTGTATCGCATTAAAATGTACTAGACGTGACTAGAATCAGAGGCCGTCTTAGATTGAGACATGTGGGGTGTTTTAGGAGCTTTGTGTGGGCAGCGCGTGTCTCACGTCGAGGTTCTACTCCACTGAGCTCTGCTCGACCAAAACGAGGTTCAGAGGGAAACTCAGAAGAACTTCAACGTCTAAACATTATCCTGATCATCTGTAACGTGCGCGCAGCTAAAGTCGCATCACGGCTCCATTTACTGTGATCAAAATACTTAAACGCATCCTCTGATGAATAACCAAACATCTACAAACATACTGCAGCGTCTAACGGCAAAAGAAATGTCCCACTGAGCAGGAGAGTGGCGACTGATTGAGGATTTTTCATTTTTGTCAAAGAAGCCGCACGGATTCTCCAAAAATGTGATTAAACGAAGACAAATCGTCAGACTGAATGAGGAGAAGAAACGAGGGAACTAATGGAGGCGATTACCCGAGCAGATGGAGGGATTACGTGTCCCTTCTTCTAAAGGTAGAGGCGCTGCGTGTTATTGTGTCAGTCGATGTGCATTTCACAGGAGATTAAATATATTTAGAGGCCTTAAAGGAAATAAAACCATAATCTATGTTTAGAGTGGCAGCAGTAATTAGAATTTATACCTGCATTCATCATAAGAAATGGGACTAAGGTGTTTGTGACAATAAAGGTAAATTATTCTTTAGTAAATATGATTATGAGGTTTCTCTATAAACTTCTACCACAAAGATGGTGAAAGGCCTGATGGGAATATAAATATCCCAAGCTAAGGCTACAGAAGCTCGTCGCGCTCTTCCTGCCTGCTCTTCCTCCCTGGAGGAGCCTTAAGGTTCATCCTCCCGGGAGCAGGACAACGATCAGCTGGGTAAGTGCTGGGAGCTAAAAGACCAACAGAAAGAACCTCCCACATCAGTTTATTATTGTTCTGTCTGCGGGATCCGTGTCCTCAGCGGGCCGTGTGATTGCTTCATTTCAGCTCGTTCCTCTTCACTCGTTCCCTTCGACGCGCCGCGTGCAGCCGCTCGGTGTCGTGCTTTTGGTTTTCATTAACTACAGAAAGACGTGTGTACATTGTCCCTAACAGGACATTTCAGCAGTGAAACACTGATGTTTTGCAATAGTTTGGATCCTGTTTGATAGTTTAGATACTCAACTCTTAGTAATGAGAAGGCCGAGGAATCTTTATAAAATCGTATTATATAGAAACACACGCTTTCATCTCCTCCTATGATGTGTGAATTTTGCCTTGTTTTAACATATTTCCCGAGCTCCTCTGCCGGTGGTAAAGAATCCAAAGGGGCTTCTCCTCCATAACTCACGTCCGTGATCTGCGGGGGGGGGCACTGCGCCGCCTCGGGCCCCGGGCACCGCTCCCGGTAAACGCAGCGGCGAGTCGCGGAGCACCAGACGCACCGGTACGCCGCATCGGCGTGTTGGCACAGACTGCAGTCCTCCCTTCCCACCGAGCAGTTATACAGCACCACTGGGGGGTAGAAGAGGAAGAGGTTAAAGCTAATTAGCATTTTCAGGAGGGTCTTGCTTTCACACACTTGATGTACGTGTGTGTGTGTGTGTGTGTGTGACAAACCAACCTGTCAGGGTGCTGTCAATCTTTCTCAGAGTCTCTCTTTCTTTGATATGGAAAGATATGTTCACCTCCTGCTGCTTGTCAAAGGAAAACTGCACGCACACACACACACACACACACACACACACACACACACACTTCCCATTAGGTTTGGATTAACACACAGTCACTTAACATTCCTCCCTCTTGGGAGTTCAACACTAAAATGACCATTTATCTTGCTCCAAAAACACACTCCTGCAGCCCCAAATCAATGTGTGTGTGTGTGTGTGTGTGTGTGTGTGTGTGTGTGTGTGGGGGGGGGGGGGGATGGCGGAAACACACACTATTTAACCACATATTGGAAATCTTTGGGGCTCAACGTGAGGCAGAGCTGCAGCTGGTGGGTGACAGCCCTGCGGTTGCTTAGCAGCCCTTTGGAGGATTCAGAGTCTCTAAGTGGACCAAATGGGCTCGTGAGGAGAGGAGAAGGATAAACGACGTGTGTCACTGGACTGATTTCTTTATGTTTATTTCATTATTGCCAGAAGCAGAAAGCTCTTTTGTACTTTGCTGGCTGGTGGAAAGAAAACATCTTTGTCTTTTTGCGTCTGTGGGTTCTAACTTACATTCAAACATCTCCCACTGACCTCATAGCCTGTGAATTTGAACTTTGACCCCTGCTCCCGAGTCACCGCGGCCTCCGTGTCCTTCATCAGCTCCGTCCCGATGGAGAAGCTATGTTCCTGGGGACGGAGAGGGACGTTATATTGCGCGATCAGGTGGTCCGCGGGGGGTTGGGGGGGGTCACGCTGGGGTCTGGTCTCACCGTGTAGATGTCCAGGTTCCTTCCCTGGAAGCTGATGGGGACCTGAAACCCAACGGGGATCAGTGGCGGCTCCAGAGACTCGAACTGAGGACAGCTGCCGGCCTTCGGCACAGGAGGACACGCAGGAAGAGAATGAATGTTAGCCACCTAGCTAGTTAGCCATCTCCTCAATAGTCAAGTATGTTCTATAACCAGTGTAGCATTAAAGCCTGCAGGAATTAGCTAGCTAGCTTGCTAACTAGCATACAGGTTAGCAATCATACCCTTTCCACCATGCTGTAATGCTACATTGGTTGTAGAAAGTTGGGCTAAACACTGGTCACTCCGCTAGCTTGCTAGCTAGCCAGCTATACGTCCCCAGAGCTGCACAGGCGCCACGTTACCTGCTGTGGTTTGATGATGTGTTTTCCACCTGCAGCATCGTCCTTGTCGCTGCAGCTGTAATCCTGGGCGTTCCACTGACAGCCCCATTCACTGGTCACACACGCTATGCACCTGGAAACACCACGTACTTTACTTACACACACGCGTGTGTGTGTGTGTGTGTGAGAGATTCAATTGTGTGTGTGTGTGTGTTGTCGGTCTTACGGTGAGTTTGGGTTCTTTCTGACCGTGGCAGCACAGTTGTAGAAGTGGTACTGTCCAGACGTCACCTTGATGTTGTTCACCAGGACCGTGACGGGGACGGACACATAGTCTGAAAACACACGGCGTTTAAAGTATTTATGTGTTGGAATTTATAGTCAAAGGAAAAGTGAAACGTTGTCAGAATACCATGTTCGCATTCATGCCAAAAGTTACATTAGAATATAGATCCCACTCCCTTGTTCTTTAGTTAGATATGAAGCTAGTTTGGTTAGCTTAGCATAAGCACAGGAAACAGAACATCCAAATAGACCAAAGCCTCTGAGGCTCACTAATTAACATGAGACATCACAGGTTTTGTTATTTTTTGACAGAACGAACCAGACATGTAATTTCCCCATTTCCAGTTTTCCTGCTAAACTATGCTAAGCTAAGCTGAGCTAAGGATTGTAGCTTCACATTTAGCGTACAGAAATCCTCTCATCTATCGGAACTCTATGAAATTACATAAAATATTGTTAAATAATGTTGAATGCAACAGATTAAACCGGATTTACAGCAGTGCAGATCTGCACAGAATGAACGGAACTCTAAAATGTAATTAAACGTAATGTCAACAAGAGTTTTTGGTCTTTATCTGAAAGAGTTGGAGCTGTCAAATTAGATCTTTCAGTCTTTTCCACAGGAAATATGTATACATATTAAAATATTAACACAGACTTCTTCCTACCCTGCTGGTCTGGCGTTGGGGGGATCTCCACGGGGTCCGGCAGCGAGCAGGTGACCCGTACCTGGCTGTCAGCGATGACCATCACGGCCTCGCTGATGAAGGAACCAAACTCACACTGCAGCTGGTCCAAGCTATTCAGGGCCGGCAGGGCAGGTATGTTTATATCCACCTGGACGAGAGCAGCGGGTGGAGTTACCAATCTAATAAATGTCTCTATAAGTAGGTCACATATAAACACGTAATAACTCTTTACATAACTGAGCAACAAATAAATGTGTGTGAGTGGGGGAGCAGGAACCATAAATTGTGTTTGTGTGTGTGTGCGCATGTAACCATGAGCAACTGTGTGTGTGTGTGTGTGTGTGAGCGTCATAATTACTATTCAACCGGGCTGTTCACACATCATTGTCCTCATTAGTCCTCACTGACCTCAAACCGGTTTCATTTGGTCGCTGATGTTTGGATTTTAAACTTTTTGATCTCGGGTGGCGGAGAGAAGCCACGAAATAAATTCCTCTTTTTAAGAAACCTACAGCTGCAGGAAGCCGACGTCTTTGAAGGCTTTAAAAATCAGATCATCCGATCACAAACAAGGAGCCTCAACGTGGACAGAAAGTCGCACACTGGCTGATTAAGACGCAGCGGATTCACCCACCGAATGAGTCTCCCTCGTCTTCCCAACAAGCCATGAAGAAAGTCAAGACAGAGGACGCGCGTTGTAGTTAAACAGGCTTGACTATTATTATACATTTCACACACCCAGTAGCCAATATGTGTTGCTGCTTTAAATATACTTGTTTTAAATTAATTAACGGTGGCGAAAGATAATGTTGGTTAAATCACCTTTAAGACGTTTTTAAAATAATTATTTTACTAGCGCATACTTATTAATTTACTAAATTATTAATGTCTTTACTGGGCTCATGTGGGTTGTATGATCATTAAACAACATTAATGTTTGTATTAGAGGACCACAGTTCTTCAGACGTCACACCTCCCTGAACATCCTTTACGTCTTTATTATTGACCAGTGGAGCTTTAAAGGCAGAATATTGTTATTAACTATCAAGCTCATATAAGAGACATATTTAATTCCACAAGTAGAAATACAAATTAACACGGCTTCAACTGAGTGAAGCAAATTTAAATGCCGTGCAAATCAAACAATCAGCATTCAGATGTTTCACAGATGTTTTAGATCATATGACCACGGCTGAGATCAATTATATGGACCCCTGATGAGAGATTACATGTGTCCAAAGCTGATTCAATTATGATCAACCAGTGGTGACAATGTTCATTCCGACAAAAACTGCTCATCTGGTCAGAAGCAGCACTTTCATTTTGTCTTTTCAAAATAAAATGCAGACGTTAACATGTTGGTTCGCATCCCCAGCATCACTCTCTCGTACCTGCCGCGTCTCCTTGCAGCTCAGGTTCGGCGGTTGGAAGGATTCGATCTGAACACACTGCTGATTGGGCGACCACAGCCAGATCTTCTCCTCCCCCCCCCTGCGGCACTCCGTCTTCTTGGTGCACCTGGTGGAGGGGGGGGGGGGAGAGGGCGGGATGTCAGTCAATCAAACGTGAAATATTTACAAGCTTTGACCCGACAACAGAAATCCTTTCACACGTGAATTTCATTGAACAGCTGAAAAAGTGATTGAATTGAATTGTTCCAATTTGTCTGCATGTTGGTTTGTTTGCATGTCAACTATGCAGTTTATGAAAATGGGTGGACCGA